CCTGCTGCTCTTGATCCTTCTGCTGCGGCTGCTCCTGTTGCTGCTGCTGCTCCTGTTTTTTCTGTTGCTGTTGCAGTAGGAGTTTTTGTTCCTGCCTCTGCTGCTGCTGCTGCTGCAGTTGCTGCAGCTGCTGCTGCAGCTGCTGCTGCAGCTCGTCAGCATGCAGCAGCGAAGACAGCCGCATGCGGGCTGCCTGTACACCCCCCTTGAGGAGCGCGATCCCCAGCAGCAGCTGCTGCTCCTGCTTTTCCTGCTGCTGCTGCTGCTGCTCATCCACCTCCTGCTGCTGCTGCTGCTGCTGCTGCTGCTGCTGTGCAGCAGCAAGAGCAGCAACTGTCTGCGAGAGATACTGCATTGGGTGTATAAATGCATCTATGGCTTTATCTATTTCTTCTTTGTTTTCTGTTTCTTTATTAAAATATAAATAAACAAACTGCTGCTGCTGCTTGCTGCTGCTCTTACCCCATAAACTTTTTAATCTTGCTGCTTCTGTCTGTAGGTCAGCTAGCTGCCACCGAGGATCAGTTGGTGGGTACTGCAGCAGCAGGGGCCCCCCAGCAGCAGCAGCAGGAGTGAGGGGGCCCCCAGCAACCCCCCCCTCTGTCTGTGTTTTTGTTTTCCTCCCCCCAAACAGCTGCAGGGCCCCAGCCCCCATAAGAGCAGCAACAGCAGCAACAAGCGCCAGTATCTGCAGCGAATCCAGGGGTATTCTGCTGCTGCTGCTTCTGCTGCTGCCCCCTATTGGGCTTCTTCTTGAGCTGCGGGTTGTATGTGTTATATTTTCATCTCCTTGGGGGCCCCCCCCCCCGTTCAGTGCTTTCTCTATATACTCTGAGGGGGCCCCCCCATAGTCCATATCGTCTGCATGCAGGGCCCCATCGTCAAACACGAGCTCTTCATCGCCATCACCAGAAGAGGGGGCCCCCTGGGGGCCCCCCCTACGGGGGGCCCCCTGGGGGCCCCCAGGGGGTTCAGCTGATGAGGGAGAGGGGGGGGCCCCCAACAACTCCACCTCATCGAGGGGGCCCCCCGCTGAGTCTGAGGGTACAGCTGCCATTGCAACAGCAGCTGTTAAGGGGGGGCTTGCTGCTGCTGCAGCAGCAACAGAAAAAGCAAATGAAACAGAAATAAAAGAACAAAAATACAGAAAGGTAGAAGCAACAAGAAGGAAGAATAACAACAACAACAGCAGCAGCAGCAGCAGCAGCAACAGCAGCAGCAGCAGCAGCAGCAGCAGCTGGATAAATAGCTAGAGGAGAACGAGCGGTGGTTGGGTTGATATGGAGCGACTGTTTGTTGCAAGACAAAAAAAAGAAAAAAGTTTTTAGTTTTTGTTTTTAATTTATTAAAAAGAAAAAGAAAAAAGATGAAAAAGATATGAGGCCCTCACCGGGATCGAGTCGATGACGATCCCACCGCTCGTTGCTGCTTGGGGTGTATATGCAGCTCTTGCCACTCCTTTTTTTTTCAGGTGTATAGGCAGCTCCTGGGGGGTTTTTTATGTGTAACTGCGGCAAAATATAAAATAAAACAAATAAAAATAAATTAAATACTTCAGTTTATTAATAAAAATATATAATTACACACGAAAACAAACAATACACCAACACTAACAAGCTCACTGCAGCAGCAGCAGCAGCAGCAGCAGCAGCAGCAGCGGGGGCCCCTCTGTTTATATGCGGTGTATGTACACCTAAAACTGCAGAACTGACGGCATTTTTGCGTTTATATTGTTTTAAATAATTATTTTTAATTTCTGCACACTCAAATAAACAAAAAACACAAACTTTTACGCTCATTTTAGGTTTTTCTTTTCTCTCCCCCCGCAGGTGTTCTTCGTCTGGTGTACAGGCAGCTACTGCTGCTCTGCGGTATTCTCCTCTCCACCAATAAAAAAAAAAAAAA